TTAAGTTATGCTCAATTTTATGATATTGTTGTAGTACAATTATGGTGAAACATGACGGTTATAGGTTTTCTGTGATAATCCACATCGGAAAATGGTTTGATCGATTTTGCTATTCATGATCATGCTGATTGCATTCTGCTAATGTTAGTCCACCATTTAAAAAAAAAATCTTCTATTTTCTTGTAATTTATGAATAACAGGAATTTGAAAACTGTTAAGAAGTTTGATTTGTTGTTTGCATTTGAAAACATACGTTGTAAAATAAAAAATAAAATAAACAATTTCTTGGGTTCTCTAAATATTTGACGTGTCTACTTTTTGTTGTTTGGTAAAGTAAATTGGAATATTTTCGGAGCGCCCCGGTATAATTTCAGCCCGGTGAGCTAGTTGAGATAGTTTCCACTTAAGGTTGAGGTTGAGTATACACAAGAATCTATTTTTATACGATTAACGATCAACAGATGTTCATAGCCTTAGTGCAAATTTACATATTGGAAAAGAAAAACTTAAAAAAATGCAAAAACATCAAACGTCATTTCTCATCGTTTCGATCTTTGTACATAACAAAGCGGTAACAATAATTATCACACGTGTAAAACTAGATTAAAAGGTTCATTAGTCGAGATGAGCCGTTTCGGCACAAATGAGGATGAAGTGGGGAACACTATGGATTCTCGGGTTTGTTTGGCGGTCGGACAAAGAGCCATCTCTAATTTGGAGCCGGCCCAGCTTTGGAAATGTGAGGAAAGTAGTATTTCTGCTTTCGTGATGGTGACTGAGTGCCAATTTGGCCAAGGTCGACCCTGTCCAGTGGGATTGTTTAGGATTTGAAACTTCATTACGGGCTTAATGTCTATGAGGCCTTCATTAAGTCACCTTTTTTAGTTTTAACTTTATTTTAAAGTCTTTCGTTCAGATGTAGAAAAATCTGCCATTAGTGCTAAAGTGAAAGGGTGATGTGGATACTCTTCGCTCTAATGACCAATTCGAAACCAGTACGATGTGCTATTTTGTAACCTCTTTTAACATTGAACATCTTTAAATATTGATTTACTTATCACATTTTAGTTTAACAGCAGCGTAACAGATAACAGAGTGATCATCTACGGATGAACCAACTCGCGAGAAAGCTGAAAGAAGAACTGGCCAAACTTAGGGCTGAAATGTACAAACAATATACTACTTCGCTTTCCAAAACAGACAAGTCTTTGTGGCACTGTACACGTAAGATCCTACGATATAAGGACCACACGCCTCCTATACGTAGTAACAACGCTTGGGCAAAATCCAATTCCGACATTGCTAAATTGTTTTCAGAGCATCTTTCCACAATTTTTACTGCACACCATGACATACTTGATCATGACCATCAGCTTAACATTGAACACGACTTGAATGTCCCCTTGCAACTCTCTTATCCTCCTAAAGCATTTACTCCATCAGACATACGACACACTATTAAACAACTACCTTCACGAAAAGCTCCCGGTTATGATCTAATTACAAAACAAATATTACAAAATTTGCCCCACAGAAGCTTACTATTCTTAACATACCTGTACAACGCTAGGACCACATATTTTCCATTGCAATGGAAGTTCTCTATAATTGAAATGATTCATAAGCCAAATAAACCTTCTGATCTTCCAAATTCCTATCGACCCATTAGTCTCCTTTCTACCCTTGCCAAAATACTAGAAAAACTACTTCTCCGACGATTACTGCCAATAATTGAAAATTCTAATATTATTCCAGATCATCAGTTTGGGTTCCGCACATTTCACTCGACAACTCAACAATTACATCGTGTTGCTGACAATATAGCCTCTTCTCTCGAACAAAAACAACATTGCTTGGGTGTCTTTCTTGATTTAGAACAGGCCTTCGATCGAGTCTGGCACTCGGGTTTGCTTTGGAAACTGAGGAACATCCTCCCTCATACGTACTATCTTATACTGAGATCTTATCTGACGGATCGATTTTGTCGAGTCCGTCAGGGAAATGAATTCTCACCTTATGCATAAGGGCGGGTGTTCCTCAGGGAAGCATACTTGGCCCTTTTCTATTTTCCATATACACTGCAGATATTCCTACACATGTTGACATTTCGACACACACATTCGCTGATGATACAGCGATTCTTACACGCAATTCGGACCCCTCAATCTCATCACTCAACACTTACAACAACACCTGAATGAATTAACAATATGGTTCACAAAGTGGAGAATATAGGTAAACCTAACAAAAAGCACACAGATCAATTTTACCTTACGTAAAAATGTCTGTCCTGCGGTGAGTATAAATGGAATTCCATTGCCTACCACTGACCTTGTGCGTTATCTTGGACTTTTCATGGATAAACGACTGACTTGGAATCCCCATACAAGACTGAAAAGACAGCAAACAAACCGACGTTATAAATTGTTAAAAAGACTACTCGACTCACGATCAAAATTAATTTACAAGACAATGATTAGACCTCTGGGCGTACGGTTGTGAAGTGTGGGGCTCAACCAAGGATTCCAATTCCCAGCGTCTCCAATCAATCCAATCTAAAATTCTCCGTCAAATTACAAATGCTCCTTTTTACGTTTCAAATTACACTATCCATAAAGACCTACACACCCCGTTTGTACACGAACTCATCAAAACTCGATATAAAAAATGTCACTGAACACACACAGTAATCTATTCGTACGAAATTTATCACTTCCAACCCTACCTGAAAATCCTCCAAGACGATTGAAGCGAAACTGGCCCCGAGACCTTCTCATTGAGTGGAGAATGAACAAAATATCAGTGAGAAGGAGTGTTAACACTGGGCAACTTCTCCTACAAGAGCCTCAAATGATAATTCAACATATACGAACATATTTACTTAATACATCACTTGTAGTTGTAAATACCAAATAAATATAATAAAAAAAATTAAAAAACATTTTAGTTTCTACTAATAGATTGAGAAAGGAAAGATCAAAATGTTAGCCAAGACACGATAATCTTTAAGCTTTAAAAAAAATCAATTACAACAGGTGTTTATCCCAAGGTGTAGGTTCTAGTCTTCCAAATTCTCCTCTGGCATAATTACCGGTGAGTGCATATGGCTTGGGCCTAGTTGGGCTAAGTTAGGTTATGCATGGTTAGGTAGGTTGGTTAACAGCTGAAGTTAGAAACTGGTTATATTAAGTTAGGTAAAGTTTTGGATGTACATTTAGATGTAGATCTTCTGGGTACGTAATATACTGCGCTCTTTGAGAGCTGTTGAATCCCGTTTTGTACTATAGCACAAGTGAGTCCTAATCCATCGAGGCATTTGATTACTAGGTCCGGTTAAAATTGAATTTCTTCAAATTCGGTGAATTTCTTCTAAGGTTGTACTTCCTAAAGCACTTCCTCATGCGGCGATTGTACTACCACATGTACTGTGTAAGTGTGTTGATGTCTTCTGTGCTTTCTTGCAGAGTCTGCTCGTCATCATTCCGCTCATGCCCTGTTTAATTGTACCAATGGATTTACCAGTTTTGGTCAAAGTTTTTTAACTATGAGTTTACTATGTCTATTGCTTGTCCATTGCTTCTTTGTTTATCACGACCCATTCTGACAAGAAAAAGTTTATGTTTAATAAGCAATTTTCAATCAGCAAATTTTAAATTTCGCCGTTACCGGTCATTTTGGTTGCTCATCCTCGCAGGGTTGATCTGGCGTTTCGGCATTTCGCCATCTTCAGTCTATGTGACAAAAGAAACAAGATAGCAACCAAATTGATTCATAAACATCGAATTTCAACTTTCCACCCCGCAAAGCCGGTGAAAACGTTTATTTATTGGAATCGACTTTCTCGATTTCTGAACGTTTTGTCTATTTGTCCATTTTTCTCATCATGTTCTGACCATTTCGTTTTGATTAATTTTGTTTATTTATTGCCTCCTCTTCCTCTCTTCCTGTTTTTCTTCCGTATATTTGACATGCACCCTTCATTGACATTTGTCGATTGTTTTATTCGTCCAGGCTTTAATAAATTTTCCAAGCAAGAAAAATTTCATTTTTATACTGCTTTTTCCTTCATCATTTCAGCAAATTTGTCCTAAATTTTTCGTTTCATAAACCGACTGGTTGATTTCCGACATTATTTTTTTTTAACTCAGGTAATATTTTTGTAACATTCTTATACGATTCAAGAAGTATAGCTGTGTATATTATTTTTCGAATTGTACCCTCCTACTCCAAGGATCTGAATTTTTTTGGTGCTGTTAAATTATGGTTAAGAAAGATTTTGATGGAAGCTCTTTTAGGTCGTTGTCAATTTTTTTATTTTTGAAATGGTCTCCTTTTTCCATACATATTCCTTATCCCCTTTGTTTGTTTCTTTATATTTTCTTTATTGGGTGTTTACTTTGCTTCTTTATCGACTGGGTGACCCTAAAAAGGGGTAGTTATTAGTGAAAGTTTCAATTAATTAAGGTTTTTAGTTGAGATAAAAAAGTCAGTGTCACGAGCGGGGTTCGAACCCACGATCTTCAGCTAGATACGCCGCTACTCTACCACTTGAGCTATCGTGACCTCGATCCACTCGGACATTAACTTCCCTTCTCAACCCCACCTTTTGAACTTTCCCTCCTTTTTGCCATTTTCAAATGAGTGGATCGAGGTCACGATAGCTCAAGTGGTAGAGCAGCGGCGTATTTAGCCGAAGATCGTGGGTTCGAATCCCGCTCGTGACACTGACTTTTTATCTCAACTAAAACCCTTAATTAATTGAAAGATATTAATTGGTCAAGCTGACCACGAAACTAGTAAAATTAGTGAAAGTGTTGAGCTCTGAGCATTCGGTTAAGTGGGAGGTCACCTATGTATCTTGAGCTGTCGTCTGAGCCCGTGGTGGATGATGATGAGCCAAATGGTAGTTAAATCCGGTGCTGTTGTACCAAATGTAGGACGTTTCATATCCATGTCATATTTATATATATGTATTAAACCTTTCTTTCATTGTTTTCCAGAATGACGGAGAGGAGGAGGTTTTCCAGGCCGAGGACGAAGGTCTATGACGCCAACTACTCGCTTGGTGAAAACTACTACAAGTCAGCGATCGACGGCCTCGACAGGAAATATGGAAAGCTGCCGACTGAGACCCTCGAGGCTCCGAGGAGACCCGTCTCCGTCGGAGACCTCGACACGTTAGTGTCCTCCCCAGTCCACGCCGGAAGGAGCGACCCTCTCCAAGACGCGATGGACGAGGAGATGGCGTCCACCCTGAAAAGGATTCAGAAAGCTAGGATGGCGGCCGTTCCTTCCGCCGAAGAGGGTTTCGAAAACGCATTCTTCAACAGGCGAGAAGAGGTACTCACATTACATATTCAATGTTATTTATTAAAAAACGATTGTTTTATAAGGTGAAGAAACGCTACGCGGAAAAAATGCTGGAAAGCGTCGGCCTCAACGGGTCGCTTTTGGAACACACTGAAATGACAAGGAGGAGGAAACCTGTGGATTTCGACGTACCTGATGGTCCGAAGGTAATCCACTGTTTATCAAATAACACACTAATATAGACTAATCCGAACACCGACTTACGAGAAAAACTTAAAAATTTGTTCATACCTTGAAAGACTACTTAAGCTCTAACTCCTCGAATCGTTTCTAGGTTCGTGGAATGCCACTTTCAATGATTAAAAAAATTGCAGTATGTATAAAGATGCAATAATGATTATAGTCAATACTTTGTTTGTATTTGGTACAAAACCACTTTTACGGAAGATTTGTAATATGCATCTAGTTTTTGCATTTGTTTTTGTCACTAAATATTAATTATGCTTTCATAAAAACGCTTAAAAAAATCATCACACGCATTTGAACTAATAAACAAAATATCATTTATACTAGGTATTTCATATTAAAATATCTACAGCCACGGTAAAGAAGTAAACCGAAAACTTTACTTTTAGGAAACATGCAAACTAATAATAATTTGTTCGGATAAATATATATGTGGAGCATAGATTGCAATGAGGTACAGAAATTTGGATTATTCGATTTTCTACTAATTTTAAACCAAACTGTTCAATTCGTCGGAAATTACCTGTATTGAATTCTTAATTAAAGCCAGCGTTCTGCAAGGGAGTATCCAAGGACCAATCCTTTACACAGTTCGCACCGCTCCGACTTTTTGAATTTTTTACACCCCAAGAGCTGAACCACAACTTTTGCGGACGACACCGCAATCTTTCTTCACATTATGACCCTATACTTGCCACAAAAGCAACCCGACGAATGAAATGGCCACGGATAGCTTTAGTGAAATATACTTCATTTTGCTTATTAAATCCATTAGGTTTCGTGGTCCGATTGACCAAATAAATTATTTTCAATTAATTAATCTTTAAGGAATCTGTCGCCAAGAATCGAATAGATTACACGACATTTGAAAAATGGCATTTTGAAAAAAGGAGGGAAAATTCAAAAGGTGGGTTTAGATGGGCAGTTGGTGCCTGAGTAGATCGAAGTTTCGATAGCTCAAGTGGCGTATTGAGCAGTAGGTCGTGAGTTCGAATCCCGCTCGTGTCACTGACTTTTTTATCTCAACCAATATTTTATTTAAAGATTAATTAATTGAAAATAATTTATTTGGTCAATCAGACCACGGAACCTAATAGATTGTATTCATGATGGTATAAACGCATATCACATCTTACATGTATTCGTATAATTTAAACAATTTTTATAAATCCCAGGCCCTGAAGATGATCTCAATAAAGACCGAAATCCCGCACGTGACACTAGCTTTTTCATTTCAACCAAAACCTTACATAAAAAGATTAATAAATTGAATGTAGTATTTTGGTCAATAGACTACTAAATATAATGGATTTAATAAGTAAAAGGAAGTAGATGTAGATGTAATATTTCAGGGTATGGTATACTGCGCCCTTTAAGAGCTATTGTATCCCTGTGCTCTGCCTAAAGCACATGGTGAGTCCTATTTCATCAAGAAACTTGATTAATAGGCCCGGTTTCAGTGGTTGTAGTTTTTCTATGGTCACATTGTACAGCCCAAAACACTTCCTCCTGTGGGCTAATGTAGCTCCGCAGTTTGTAAGTAAGTGTGTTGGTGTCTCTTCTGCTTCCTTGCAGAATCTACATGTGCCATCTTGGATTATTCCAATTTTCTTTAAATGTCCATTTAATCTACTGTGTCCTGTCAGGAATCCTGTTAGGATTCGCAGTCTATTCCTGCTTCCTTTGACACATTCTGTGATTTCTTTCTTGCCAAACTTGGTTAGAAGATTCTTGGATTGTCTATGTCCAATAAGTGAATTCCAAAGTTCGCTCATTTTCTTTTTGTCCTTCTGTCTGAGATATTCGTTAATAGTGTGTATTCCTATTCCACAGAAGAGTTCGGGTCCTATTAGCGGTGTGGCAGCCCCTTTTCTTGCAAGGGTATCCGCTTTCTCGTTGCCTTCTACTCCCATGTGTCCTGGGACCCAGCAGAGGCTGACTTTATTCTGCGAACCTAATATGTTTAATTTGGTTTTGCAGTTCAGCACCATCCTTGAACTAATGGTATTTGAGCTTAGTGCTTTGATGGCTGCTTGGCTATCTGACATGATAGCTATATTCTTGATTTTGTATCCTCTATTTAAATTGAATTGGATACACCTTTCAATTGCGTGAATCTCAGCTTGGAACATACTGGTGTATTTTCCCATGGGTTCTGAGTATTTGGTTCCAGGTCCAAACACTCCTGCCCCCGTACCTTCCTGTGTTCTGGATCCATCTGTGTACCAAAGGATGGGGCCATTTTTGAGAGAATTGTTTCCATTTCTTTCCCATTCTTTTTGGTGCCCAGATGTATTCGGAATTTTTGGTTGAATTCAAACCTCCTGTTCATGTCATCTCTTGGAGCCATGAGTGATGGATGGTTTTTCCACAGTTTGTTCCTGTCTCTCCATTTCAGTTTTATTCCTGTTGGAGGTTTCTCTCTAATAAAGTTGATTATGGTTTTCTGTGCTGTCCTTTCTACCATGTGATGTAGGGGGATTAGTCCCAATATCTTTTCCATGCTAATTGTAGGACATGTTCTCATTGCTCCCGTTATGCAGATGCATGCAAGTCTCTGTATTTTTGTGAGTTCTTTCCTTTTGGTTACTTGTTCCGCTTTATCAGCCCAGGCTATAGCTCCGTATGTAAGTAAAGGTCTTACTATTATGGTGTATATCCATAACAGGGTTTCCGGCCTAATAAAAGGAAGTAACTTCACCAACAGCTCCCTTTGGCCACTTCAGATATCGCCGTGAATCGAATCCTGATTACAAGACATTTGAAAAATGGCAAAAAGGAGGGAAAATTCGAAAGATAGGTTGAGATGAAGTGATAAAAAAGTCAATGGCACGAGCGGGATTCGAACCCACGATGTTGAGGCCTCAAGGAGGTCACGATAGCTCAAGTGGTTAGAGCAGCGGCGTATTGAGCCGAAGATCGTGGGTTCGAATCCCGCTTGTGACACTCACTTTTCCATTTCAACCTATTTCTTATGTAATGATTAATTAATTGAAAGAAGTTATTTGGTCAATTAGACGACTAAATTTAATAAATTTAAAGAGATGGAAACATTGGCACGATAAAGAAAACGTTTTTTCCAAACCTTCATCACACTATCTCTAAATAATCATTAATTAACGGACACGGTTATCATATCGTTGAATTTGGATAAAATCCAAGCCAGTGAAAAATTTTTAGGAGAACAACAGGAAACCCGTGATACAAAAAAAATATTTTATCAAAAATTAGTAATTAAATTCTTTAATCAAACCCGTCTTATTTTTTTGTTTACCATAAACATTTAAGGACTTTATATAATGCTTAAAACAAATTTTTGTTTTCAAAAATGAAATATTTTTTTGCTTTCTGTACTTTGGATTTTTGTAACTTTTCATGCAACTAATCTCATTTATCATCATCCTGCTTTAAAAACAAATCGAATGTCAAATAAAAACGTCGAAATGCATTTGCAACAAATTCAAAAATCTTTTTTTTAAATATCATTTTAAAAAATTTCTAGGCGTTTAGGACTTATTAGCAAGAACGCTCCTACATACGTATAATATTTTTTGACTGAGTAGCACCAAAACAAGTTTCATTAAAATTGACAATCGTGATAAAAATTTGGATCAATAGATATACCTGAAAAGATATCTGAAATGAACTGTCCAAAAACTTCATGGCTTAAGCCAACAGTAACCAACTTCTCCCAAGTATATGACACTCAGTCGGCAAAAAACGGATCATTTTCGGTAATCGACATATCTACTTCTACCCTGTGATAGATTCGGGTATTTAATTATAATAGCATAAATTGTTTGCGTGTCATTCGGAAAAGTAGTTTCGTCCGGTTAGTCATCAAAATAAGAACATTACGCTACATTAACATGAGCTTATTTGGAATTTGTACGTCCCATAACTTTCTACCAACATGTTAATGTTTTTATATTGTTCAGGTAGCCTTCTGGTGAAAGATTTCGGAAAGGCGAAATTTCCGGTTCTCAGGTGATCAGTGAGACAAAACCTGAATTAAAATTTTTCTCACAATCTAACTGAAAACTGTAAATCTAATGAAATAAAATGACGCTTTGTCAGGTAAATTGTGTTTTATTTGGAAATCCTTTAAAGCAGGTTGACAAATAAATATATATTATGTCAAATAACCTTAAACCGAAAAACTTTGTATTAATTTTAGGAGTTTAGATGTTTTTTCTACTTATCATAGTAATTATTTATGTTCTTGTGTTTGGTGATTTCATCATACATCATTTCATGTGTTTTATGTGTGTGAACTTTAATTAAATCTGAAACGATTATTTTATTACAGCCTGGACAGTACAATAGGCTGAATTTTTATTTTTGATATTAAATTGTTGGCACATGTATTTTTGTAATAATATCTGTTTTGCTTTATGATTGTTTATTTTAAAACAAGAAACTTTGTATTACGAGAATCGAAGACTTCATTAAATCTTAATTTATTGTAAATGTACAAAATACAAAAAAAACATACAAACAAGGTAGATCATAAGAAGAGTTAATATTATTAAGAAAAGATCGGTTGGTAAAACAAAAAAGGATACTAGGAAACTACTAGGTTAGTGATCCGCAAGCATTGCAGCCTTCTGGCTTATTGTACCTTCCCAGTTCCCTAGTTTAGTCAATAGACTCAATCCTTCTTCTCAGAAGTATCAGGTCATTGACTGTTATTGCTGCAATTTGATACTCTAAGTTTTTTCCGTACGTTAGGTTAAATCTCCATTGAGCTGTTGCTTCGCATTCGAAGATGATATGACTGGCTGTTTCCTCCTCCTCGTTACATAATCTGCAGATGGGATCTTCGTTGTATATGCCCATGTTTTGTAGATGTTTTCTCAGATGCCAGTGACCGGTTAGTAGTCCTACCACTCCTCTGATTTCACGCCAATAAATGGTATGGTAAAAAAGGATACTAGGAAGTGGGGTTGGCGCTCCCCAGGCACTGCGGCCTTCTGGCTTATTGTACGTTCCTAGTTCCTTAGTTCAGTGCAATAGACTCAATCCTTCTCCTAAGAAGTATCAGGTCATTGACCTGCTGCTGCTATTTGATTCCCTAAGTTTTTCCGTACGTTACATCCCCATTGAGCTGTTGCTTCGCATTCGAAGATGATCCTGTTTCCTTCTCCTCTGCAGATACATACATAATCTGAAGATGAGGTCATCGTTGTGTACGCCCATATTGTGTAGATGTTTTCTCTGCCAGTGGCCGGTTAGTTCCTTGATATTTTCTGATACTTCTTAGGAGAAGGATTGAGCCTGTTGCTCTGAACTAAGGAACTAACCGACCTCTGAGTTTGTCCTTGTCCAATTGCAGCAGTGATTTTGCCGGGCTTGGTGAAGGTTGTTCCATCATAAGTTTACTGTGTCTAGCCCCGCTAGAGTTTATCCACTTCTCCTTTTGTTTAGATCCATTCTGCGATGGAGGATTCTATCTTTTGTTTTTGTTATCCCAAGTTCAGCACCTATGTATGGTCTTGCAGATCCTCCTCTGGCCTGTCTGTTTGCTTTCTTGTCACCAAAAATTAACCCTAACCATCCCTAACCATCCCTAACCATCCCTAACCCCTCTGTGCCCTGGCATCCAACATATTATCAGGTTGTTGTGTTTCCCCAAGTTTTTGAGATTTGGATGCATTCTCTGACTAATTTTGGTGTGTTTTTTGACATGCTAATGCTTTAATGGCTGCTTGCTCCCCCATTATTTAACAAGGGTGCTAAATATTCCGCCTTCGACTCTCTCATCTACACATTCACGCTAATAAATGCATTCATGCTAATGTTTTAATAGCCGCTTGGCTATCAGATCTTATGAGGATTTTTTTGTCAGTGTAACCACTTTTAAGATTTTCCAGAGCACATGCATTGATGGCATGTATTTCTGCTTGAAAGACCGAAGTGTACAATAATGTAAATACCAATTAAAAACTGTGTAAGACAACCGCACCTCCAGGCCGGCCTAAATATAGTGAAGGAATTCCACTCAGATATGGTATGATGATAAGGATAACCTAGGGGGTTTGTAGGGTTTGTACTCCCCAAGCACTGCATCCTTCTGGCTTATTGTACCTTCCTAGTTCCTTAGTTCAGTGCAATAGACTCAATCCTTCTCCTTAGAAGTATCAGGTCATTGACTGTCGCTGCTACAATTTCATTCCCTAAGTTTTTTCGTATATTAGGTTAAACCTCCATTGAGCTGTTGCTTCGCATTCGAAGATGATATGACTGGCTGTTTCCTCCTCCTCGTTACATAATCTGCAAATGGGATCATCGTTGTATATACCCATGTTGTGTAGATGTTTTCTCAGATGCCAGTGACCGGTTAGTAGTCCGACCACTCCTCTGAGTTTAGCCCTCTCCAATTGCAGCAGTGATTTTGCCAGTCTTGGTGAGGGTTGTTTCATCGTAAGTTTACTATGTCTAGCACCGCTAGAGTTTATCCACTTCTCCTTTTGTTTTGTTTGGATCCATTCTGCGATGGAGGATTCTATTTTTTTTTTAATCCCAAGTATAGGTTCGGGGCGTATGGTCTTGCAGGTCCTCCTCTGGCTAGACCGTTACTTTCTCATTACCCAAAATTCCCCTGTGCCCTGGCATCCAAGATATCATCAGGTTGTTGTGTTTCCCCAGGTTTTGGAGATTTTGGATGCATTCACTGACTAATTTTGATGTGATTCTTTTACATGCTATTGCTTTAATGGCTGCTTGGCTATCAGATCTTATGAGGATTTTTTGTCAGTGTAACCTCTTTTAAGATTTTCCAGGGCACACGCCAATAAATACATTCACTCTCAGTACTCTGTATGGGACATGACTATCAGTACTATTATTCAATAAAACAACCTTCCTCCAAGAATCAAAACGGGGGCCATATTAATATAATAAAACACAAAAAATATTTAAGACGATTTTTGTAGCACAGTTTTTGTTCATTATGCCATAAAAACAAACAATTTTTAAGGAAAAATTCCTTTTTATTCAAATAAGTTTGATCCTTGACTTTCAAGCCGAAAACTTTGGTTCAAAAATCCAACTCCATTTAGCCACTTTTCTATTATGCCATAACTATAAATAAAAGATTATTTGTAATAGATTATTTATAAAGCTGCTTTTTAGACTTCAGTTTGTCAAAATTAATCGTATGTTAAGTTGAATTTCTATTGAGCTGTTGCTTCGCATTCGAAGATGATATGTGTGGCTGATTCCTCCTCCTAATTACCTAATCTACAGATGGGATCATCGTTATATAATGCCCATGTTGTGTAGATGTTTTCTGAGATGCCAGTAACCGTGATTTTGCCAGTCTTGGTGAGGGTTGTTTCATCATAAGCTGTGTCTAGCACCCATAGGGTTTATCCACTTCTTTTTTGGATCACTTCTGCGATGGAGGATTCTATATTTGTTTTTGTTATCCCAAGTAAAGGTTCGGGGCCAGTCTGTAGGCTTTCTTGTTAATCAAAATTCCTCTGTGTCCTGGCATTCAAGACATAATTAGGTTGTGGTGTTTGGAGATTTTGGATGCATGGACAGACTAATTTTCTTTTACGTGCTAATGCTATAATTGCTTGGCTATCACATATGACGAGGTTGTTTTTGCCAACCTCTTTTAAGATTTCTCAGGGCACAAGCTTTGATGGCATGTATTTCTGCTTGAAAGACCGAAGTGTACTCCCATAATGAGTTTGTTGCTCATGTTTTGGGCTTGTACCTGGACTATGCGAATGACACATATTATTTTTCCACCCCCTTTGTCCAGGTATAAAAACTTTTATTTAAAAAAAATCGGAAATTACTAATGGGTGTGCCTTCAGATTGGGAATTATACCAAGAGATTTCTCTATGTTTAGTTTCTGATGATGAACCAGGAGCCCGAAACGTCCATGTAATTTACTAAATTGAATAAAGATTTTCAACCTATCAATAGAGAATCTTGTGGATACATATGAACATAGACGAAGAGATTATCCCAATTAAAAAGCTAATTAGGAAAAAATAAAAATTTGATAAAATTATATAAGTGAACAGCCCAAAAACATGGAAAGAAGAGCAAACAAGACAGGAATGAAAAAATTAGATATGTATGACAACAGCCTAAATATCTATGCGAAAGAAGAAGCTAACAGGGCCGGAATAAAAAATTTGATAAACATGCCTCAGAGAATTAAGTGAAAGAACTTGCGATATGAAAAAAATTAACAATCAGATGAAAATAAAAACAGTTTAAAATGTATGCGAAAGAAAAACCGAACAGAGTAAGAATAAAACAATCAGATAAATACGAAATAGTTCAAAAAGATATGCAAAAGAAAAACCGAACAGGAGAAAAAATGCATATGAAAATAGTCGAAGAGGTTACCCCAAATAAGAAGAGAACTAGGAAAGAATCAAAATTTGATAAATATGAAAACAGCCCAAAAAACCTGCAGATTCTCCTCTGCCCAGTCTCTCTGCTTTCTCGTTACCCAAAATTTCTCTATGCCCTGGCACCTGAGATATCATCAGGTTGTGTTTCCCCAGGTTTTGGAGATTTTGGATGCATTCACTGACTAATTTTGATGTAATTCTTTTACATGCTAATGCTTTAATGGCTACTCGGCTATCAGATCTTATGAGGATTTTTTGCCAGTGTTACCTATTTTAAGATTTTCCAGGGCATGTATTTCTGCTTGAAAGACCGAAGTGTACTTTCCTAATGAGTTTGATTGCTCATGTTTTTCGGTTCTTCCTCATCTTTATAGTCCGTTGAGACTTTACAGGATTGTAAAGAATGTTTCCGAATGTTTTTTGTTTAAAGAACATGGGATCATATAGTCAGTCCCAATTTCTAACAATGGGTGTCTGATTTTGTTAACATTGTTCGACATTACGAGCTTGGTCAAAATTTTTGATATTTATGAATAAACGAAGAGAAATTTGAATTTATCTGAAAAACTCTTAGGTAGCCGAGTGGTTAGCATGAGAGACTCTCACGCCGCGGTCGTGGGTTCGATTCCCACCGTCGCCTCTGGCCCTTTTTTCCCGATAACCCCCAATTTGGACAACATATATAAGAATTAGTCATGGCTAATATGCAAAGATCATAAGGCAAAAAAAAAAAAAATCTGAAAAACTCATATCGACTCCATGTCCATTAAATATAATGATTATTATTGTCCATTAAATATAACAGACATATTCAACTTTTTGAAATGGAATGACAATTTAATTAATAGCAAATAAAGTAAACTTAGGTTTTTTAAAATAATTAATTAAAAATAAAGCATGAATTCGAGGAAATCAAGTCTGAAAGGTATAGCGAATATGTGCAGGTTTCAGAGAAATGGACGGCTATGAGGGACGCGAGTCTCGACGCGTTCGACGAGACGGCTGCTAAAGCGAGGGCCCGGGCGTCAAAAGCTCGCCTCGCCGACCTCGACGCGGAAATGGAACAACTTGAAGAAAGGGGAGCCGCACGGCAGAAACGTCTCGCCAACCTGAGACAACTCCTGGACGAAGCCAGCGTCGACTCGTCGTCATCGTCTTCGGTCCGTCTTCGCAAAAAGCTCACAACAACGACGACGACCATGGAAAAGAGGATGCTGTAAATTGCCAATCGTCTCGCTTGTAATCGAAGTAGTGGAGGAAGTCATGCCCGCCATCTAGTCATTTAAATTCGTTTATCTTTATTTTTTTAATAGCCCGAATAAAAATAAAAAAACAGATATTATTACAGCTCAAGTTAGTTTTGCCACAGAAGACCTCTTACTCAAATTGCCTTTTTAAGAGACTTTTTAAGTCCATAAAAACATAATTCCCTCCACTACCCAATCTCACCATCACACAATGGCGGGACTTATTTATATTCTTTGGGAAAGTTGTTTGTATTGATATAAGAATGATACCAGTTGTAACAAAGACAAAACAAAATGTTATTGTTCACGTACCATACTAATAAATAAATTAACGTTAAAGTAAAATGTTTTCATTTCTTTCACACACACTCAAATGTTAATGAAAGTGGTGAAAAAGCAAAGAAAAAAATGGAAAGAATGTGAGAGAGAGAGAGAGAGAGAGAGAGTGTGTGTGTGTGTGTGTGTGTGTGTGTGTGTGTGTGTGTGAGTGTGTGTGTGTGTACAAAAAGGAAGAGAGAAAGAGGGGGAGAGAGAGAAGGAGAAAAAGAGAGGGAGTGAGTGAAGGAGAGAAAAAAACATAAATAGAGATAAATAGGTAAAATGAAAAGAAGGAAGTTGAACAGAGAATGTGATAAAGATCGAAAATAAAAGAGAAAGAGGTACACAACGAGAGATATGGAGGAAAGAAAAGAGAGAGAGACTGAAAGACAGTGAGGGGTAGAGGAGATGTAGAGAGAGTGAAGTTGAAAGAGATACACAAAAGCAGAGAGAGGTAGGGAGAGAAAAAAGATAGAGAAGGTGAGAAAGAGAGTGAAAGAACGGGCGTGAGTGAGGGAGAGAAACAAAAACAGAATGAATGAAATATAAACAGTGAAAGTGGCAGAAACAGAGGAAAGAGAGAGAGAGAGAGAGAAAATGAAGCAGAGTGAATGGTAAAGAGAAACTCTAAAAAATAAAGGGAAGGAAGAGAAACAGAAAGACAGAGAGAGAGGTAGAAGAAATAGAAAGAGCGAGAGAGACACAGATAAAGAAGTGTACAGAAAGAAGCGTTATAGAAAGAAATTAAGAGTAAGAGTAAAATCGTAGGTAGGAGAAAGAGAAAGGAAAGCAGAAAGAGATAGGGAGAGGAAAAGAGATAAAGAAGGAGAGAAAGGGAGTGAAAGAACGGGAATGAGTGAAGGAGAGAAAGATAAATAGTGAAAAGGATGACAGCAACAGAGGGAGCGCGAGAGAAAGTGAACTAGAATGAGTGATAAAGAGAACCTGTAAAAAAGAAAAAAAGAAAGGAAAGGAAGAGATACAGAAAGATAGAGATAGATAGATAGAGAGAGAGAGAGAGAGAGAGAGAGAGAGAGAGGAAGAAATAGAAAGAGCGAGAGATAAACACAAAGAGATATGTATAGGAAGAAACGTTATAGAAAGAAACTACGAGGGAGAGATAAATGGAGTAAAGAGTAAAAAAAGTAAGTACAAATAAAGAAAACGCCATTTCCCAATTATGATGTATATGAAGGCTGAGTCGTCTGGAGAAAATTGAGATGTCTGGAGAGAATGGAATCCTGTGATTTTACACTGGGTTTCTTGGAACTCAGGATACAGGTAAGTTGAGACGAACGATATACTGGCCAAGAATTGATCCGGTGTAAATACTTCTGGCCCAGCAATTGTATCCTTAACAAGTCTAAATCCTAGTGGATCAAACCCCAGGGATGGGACTCGATTCACTTTTTCAATAAAGAAATTTTAATAATTGAACCTCCTCAAAGAAATAAAAATGGTTAGAATCCACTCCAAGAAGATAGCCATACTCTCTGAAGGCAGCAAAAGTATCAAAAAGTCAAAATCTGTCTGGATTGGATGGAATCCTTGTCGGGTGTCAGTGACAACAATGTTCTGACACTCTTCGGAGTTCCTACGCACTCAGGTCGCACCCTCCAGACCTTCTAACCTAGATCTATGTAATAGAATTCAGTGCACACGACATACTCAAAAATAAACCAAAAATTGCACAGATATACCTCTGACAGTACAGTAGTACTGAAGGCTTTTTAGACTGCTTCAACTTCAACTCAAAACTGATCTGGATATGCCTAACATCAGGTAACTCTGTAAGGTATCTTAAAAAATACTCTTTGGTACAAAATTGAACATAACAAAAAAACAATCTCAGATTTAACCCCGATTGACTTGGTAACTCATAAAAATGAAATCTACCTCGTACTTGTCACAACTAAGGACGATCTCGTACAAAGGATTCAGGAATCCTGTGCTCTTATGAGAGAACAGAAGCAGGAAGAAATCTCGATAACAGTCATATTTCTTAGGAAGCGATGTCAGGCTTGTATTCTTCCAGAAGGTGGACAATTTGAACATTTCTTTTAATTTTTAAAAGGATATTGTGGGTTTTTTACGTTCAATTTTGTACCAAAGAGTTTATTTTATTTTATATTATTTTCCTTATTTTTTAATAATTTCAACATCTTAATGACAATTTTTTTAAACCAATTGTATCCGAAAAATCAAATTTATAGTAATAAACGTGAATTTTACTTCAAGGAATTTAGTACATGTGTTTAAGATCATCACTAGATGCAACTTTTCTGTAAGCGCCGTATCTGTCAGTATTTCCAGAGTCATAAAACTTTACTTAAATTTTACGTAACAACTTCAGCAACAAATAAAGTTACTTAAATAAATTTGTACTTTATTGGTTGACGGTCAAAAACAGAATTAAATTAAACAATCATATAGGATTTTTCATTCTTTCCATTGATTTACTCGAACTTACAGTAGGAATAATTCACTAGTTTTCGTGGTCCTTTTGTCCAATTAATATATTTCAATTAATTAAGGTTTTTAGTTGAGTTAAAAAAGTCAGTGTCACAAGTTGAAAATTAAGGTTTATTTAAAATTGTTTAAACAGCTACGATCAAAGCCTCTGCATTTTCCAGTTATTAACCGCTCACATGGATACATTCTAACTAGATACCCTACCAACTTGAATATACAATTAAAAATTTAGGAAGCACAAAGGTATTCGATAGTACACCGATGCCACCATCTTGCCCCAATATACAAAATTCACTATAAAAAAACTAATTTGGCAAGTGGTATACTCTATATTCCATCACAAACACGTCTATCCACAGTTAACGTCACGCTAATAAATACATTCATACTAGCAAAGAGACGAAAGACTTTAATATGACTATAAGCGTTTATCGATATTAGTTATCGATCTTTGTCATCATGCTTTGCTTTAGTACTATCGATTCTCCAGGTGACTTTGTCAGGAAGCCGTTTCCTTGGTTTAATCGTGTCAGAATAATCCTGCCTCTCTTGTCTGAACCAATGATTACAGAAAAGGGACATGTCCCACAAATTAATTTTTACTGGAAAGAAATAAAATGTTTAAAAGAGGTATTTTCTAAAATTTTGAATAAATTACAGGACTCCAATTAGGCTGTTGTACAAATGTATTTTAAGGTTTTCCTCAATTTCTTCAATCCTTGTGAGCAGGGTATCCACTTTTATGGTGTTGATATGGCTCTGTTCGGCTCTCAACACTTTTTTATTGTAGAGAAGCGTTCGTATTCTGCTAGAAATGTATTTACCGCCTCGAAAATATTTAATACAATTAAACAGACATCGTAAAAAGAAGTTTCAAATACCATTAAAGTAAAAACATGACACCCAAAAGAACAATATTAACCCAATAGTTTGTTATAAGGCCAAGCGTAAATTGAGCTCCAAAAAATGTGAACTGCCGTTTGTTGGATGTAGTTCTTGAGGCTCTTCAAATCCTTCATTTTTCCAGCATTGACTGGAATCTTTGACGTGTACAACTCTGCAGTTGGTAGCGCAAAGGATTTCACTGCTGGAATTGGTAGGCCTTCAATGAACTCAGAGGTTTTAATAGTGCCTGGTGTTTGGGATGATACCTCAAGGTAATGGCATGATGAAATGATCTTTTGATATTTTGCTGGTAGTCTTCGTGTTTCCAAAGACGTAGTTTGTTTAACGTAATAGGTTGAAAACCACTTTCGGTAGTTATTACCATAACTCGGTCGCAAGGGAGAAAGGAGTGTCCTCGCATAGGAAAATACACTTTTATTTTATTATGTGTATTATGTCCAGACAAGACTTCTTTTATCCTATCAAGTGAAATGTCTCATTTTATGAATATGAAACGTCCTTCATTTCGTACAACAGCACCGGATTTAACAACCATTTGGCTCATCAACATCAACCACCGTCTCAGATGACAGCTCAAGGTACATACGTGACCTCCCACATACCCGAGAATGCTCAGAGCTCAACACTTTCACTAATTTTACTAGTTTCGTGGTCAGCTTGACCAATTAATATCTTTCAATTAATTAAGGGTTTTAGTTGAGATAAAAAGTCAGTGTCACGAGCGGGATTCGAACCCACGATCTTCGGCTAAATACGCCGCTGCTCTACCACTTGAGCTATCGTGACTTCGATCTGCTCGGACCCTAACTTCCCAAATCAACCCCCCCCCCCATTGAATTTTTCCTCCTTTTTGTCATTTTTCAAATTCAAGGGTAGGGTTGATTTGGGAAGTTAGTGTCCGAGCAGATCGAAGTCACGATAGCTCAAGTGGTAGAGCAGCGGCGTATTTAGCCGAAGGTCGTGGGTTCAAATCCCGCTCGTGACACTGACTTTTTATCTCAACTAAAAACCTTAATTAATTGAAAGTAGGAATAATTCACTAATTTCGTGGTCCGCTTGACCAATTAATACATTACAATTAATTAAGGTTTTTAGTTGAGATGAAAAAAAGTTAATGGCACGAGCGGGATTCGAACCCACGATCTTCGGCTATATACGCCGCTGCTCTACTACTTGAGCTATCGTGACCTCGATCCATTCGGACATCAACTTCCTATCTCAACCCCACCTTTTGAATTTCCCTCCTTTTTGCCATTTTTCATGGCCATCCATTCAGTAGGAATAATATTTTATATGATGGGGGACTTCATGGCAAAAATTTGTGTAAGATTAAATAACACTAATAAAGCGATCTGGAATACTAAAGAATCCCTTTCCCCATAGAATTTTAAAATTGAAATTCCTCCTTATCTAAATCAACAACAGAAAAGTCACAGGTTCGAAGATAAGATGCCATTCATACATTGTCCCGATAACATTTCACCACTAAAAGTGAAATATTATCTTTTACGAGGAAAAAATGGCTGACTAATTCTTTAATAATTAATTTAGAAATGAGATTTGACTATATAATTACGCAGTCAATCTTAATCAGTCTGATTTGTCTTACAGAAACATAATTTATCTGTACATTAATTTATTGCA